GGCGACGCGGCCCCTTTAAGGCGCGGGGGCGGTGCCGGTGGCAGCAGCTGCGCGCTCGGCGCTCGCACTGCGGCGCCGCCGCCGCGCCGCCCTTATATGGGCCCTGCCCGCGCTGGCGTCATCGGCTCCAGGGGCGCCCATTGGCCGCGGCGGCGCCGTATGCTAATAGCGCGTGAGCTCAGCGCAGTGGAAGCAGTGACGTCGCCGCGGGGGTGACAATGGTGGCGGGGGGGGRGCGGGTGACCCGAGCGCTATTTTTAGGGTTCAGCAGGTGTCACCCCCCTCCCGGGTCCTGCTGCGCCCCCGGCCGCAACACGGCGGCCGGTCCCCGAGCGGCACTTTCGCGGGGACAGTGAATGAGCCATGGCGGGTGACAGCCACTGTCCCCTGGGTGTCCCACGCTCAGCTGCGGGGCTCGGGGGGGGCTCCTCTCCGCAGCACGGGGGTTTTGCCAGCACCGAGCAGCCTCCCCGCCTCGCCAGCGCCTGCACAGTCCCCAAGGGTCCCCTGTCCTGTCCGGGCAGAGGTCGCYGAGGTGGCCAGGGAACGGCCACCACCCGCGCGGTGACAGGGGACCCTCCTGTCCTGCGCTCTGCCCCACCGCTTTACGCCCAAGGAGCACCCRCGCTGAGCACTGGCACCGCGGGACGGGCAGCCCCGGCGCCCGCCAGCCCAGTGCGCAGGAGGAGGACGGGATTTCGGGAGTGGATATTGCCGGGGGYGAGGGGGGGGTCTCCAAGCTCCGGTCCTTTTCCCTGCCTCCGGAACGCAGCAGGATTCACTTGAAGCCTTCCCGAGCGGGCAGCTCGTTCTGCTCCCCGCCTCCCTCCATCTGCCGCCCCATTCATCCGCGCAGCGCCGGGAAGCGGCCCGATCTCCCGCTATAAACCAGATTTGCCTTTGTGAGCTTGGACATAAACCCRAGGATTAAAGTCTAGGGGGCTTTTTTTTGGAAGCGAGCAGCGCACACGGAGGCGGCCAGGGCCGGGTGTTTGCACCGCGCGGGCGCRGGGTGTTTACACCGTCTGCGCCACCGAAGGCACTCGGAGCGCTTGGATCGGGACTGGTGTAGAAATAAGAAGCGAGCCAAGCTATGCTGGTGCAAGGCAGCTTTTCACAAGCACGCCTGTAAAAGCCCAAGGAGGCAGAAATTTGGAAATAAATCCCCAGCGAAATGGAGGCAGAAGGATCACACAGAGAAGGGCTGGGATGGGGCAGTCCTGTGTCCTTGTGGAGCGATGGGAGCGAGAGCTCTGCTGTCCTCARGTGGGCCAAGAATAGCATGAATAGTGAGCCGGGTTTAGTTGCAATAATTAGGCTAACAGTGCTCCCCAGTGCTGCTGGTGATCTAACCTGGGCCAGCAGGTTCCCCTGGTCCCCCCTGCCCTGCAAGCCGATGGAGTAAGTGGTGGCACCATTCTCCAAATTCACAGCCTCCATTTGCTCTTAATCATCGTCCCTGTTCCTCCCGGCCGAGACCTTTGCCCCATCAGTGTCCGTCGGGCTCCAGGGTCATTCTCCAGCCCAGGCCCTCGTCTCCAAATTCAGATTCTGCTCATTAACCCCTTCCAATAAGAGGTTTCCCGTGGAGCTCAAGGACCTCCAAGAAGGGTACGTGTCCATGACTTCTGGCCCTGGGACAACGAGGCTGCCTTAACCACAAGGCTTAATGCATGCTTTCAAATTGCTTTGAGGAGCTGTTTATAAAACAAACAATTATAAAATAAAATGCATTTTAAAAAGAGAAGTTAGAACTTCTTTTAATGCTGTTCTGGTTGGATTAGTTTCCACCCTGTGTTTAGCTAGAGATGGCTGAGTGCATTTACATTTCAGTTCAAATAATATATATATATATATATATACACATATATATACAGTGGTTGGCTGGACAAGGTTTGTAACTGGTTTGGCAGGAATGAAGAGCCCTGACCCTGTTTATCCAAAACAAGTTGAGCTGGAAGTTTGACAATAAAGAGGCAACATGTGGCTCAGGCGAGGGCTCGAGCCCAGCCTGYACAGACCAAAACGCTCACGCGGGTTCAGCCTCCTCAGCAGCTCGCAGCTTTTTTGCACACCCCAAAGGCACCAGCTCCCACACGCCGCTTGCTTTGGCTACGTTAGCAGGGGGGGAGCAGATTTTTAATGGGCAGCGTTGGACACAAAACCCACTTGAGAAGCTGCCGCTTGAATGTGGAGTCAGCTGCCAGGCAAGGAGCGATCCCACCCGGCGGTTATCAGCGGAGGAATAGTTGCACCGGCGGAATTACCATCCAAATCCTCTTGATGAGCTGCATCCCGCAGATGGCTAAATGAGCCGTCTTATGGGCCCCTCCTTTTAGACCTGCAGTTGGGAAGGGTTTTAAGGTGATCCGGTTGGATTTGGGAAGCCCAGGGCTGCTTTTCCTGCACGCTAAGGACACACAAGCACCGGGGCTCCTGTGCTATCGGCCGCTTGGGTGCTAACACCCATTCAGCACCATCAGTGGGAATTCAAGGGGAAAAATAAAGGCTGGGATAAGCAGGGCTCTGCGTTTAATCGCAGCTGTAATTGCTAACCTGGGTCTGACCCCAGAAACAGGCCTAGCAGGCAGGGTAAACAATAAAGCAAGAGGCCTCAGCCCAGCCTGCACTTAGAGCTAATAAGGGCCTTTCAAAACACACGGTTGGGAAATCGGCCTGTGACCGAAGCGTGTGAAATGCAGCCGAGAGGGAGGGGAGCGAAGGACATGGGCAGAAAATGGGTGTTTTAACCTGTTCGCTGCCTGGGCGGGAGGGCGGCTTGCGGCACGTACGGCTGTACACGAGCTGGACAGTGGGGACCTGTCCCCCTCGCTTCTGTAGCGAAAATGTGGGGCTTCGGTGACTGGCAGCGGCACCCGAGGAGCAGCTTTTCCCAGAAAAAGCCCCTTTGCTCCTTCCACACCTTTCTCCTCGCAGCAAACAGCCCATCCCACCGGCCGCAAWCGCTGCCTGTTCTGAAATGTTTTGGGCAACGAGCCTTGCAGCACCCAAGGGAGCCACRGGCACAAACCATGGCTTTTCCCTCGAATTTCCTAAGACTTTGGGCGTTGTTTTCCAGTGATGCCAAGCACCTGTGGCCTCCAGCTGCTTCCCGTTTGCAGGGAGATTCCCTCAGCCTGGGCAGCCTCTGGCTGGAGCTGTGTTGACAACATCCCCCATAGGATAGGATAGGATAGGATAGGATAGGATAGGATAGGATAGGATAGGATAGGATAGGATAGGATAGGATAGGATAGGATAGGATAGGATAGGATAGGATAGGAGACATTTTTTCAAAGCAGAATGTTTGCGGCTGGAGCAGGAGTCCCAGCCCTGCTAGTTCCTCCCGCAGCYGCCCTGCCGGGGAAGGTGTTCGTGACCTCAGCCCATTTCGGAGACGGTTTCCTGTACTTTGCATTGGGTTTATTGTTCTTTTTTTCTTTCCACGGCCCCGACAGGATGCGACTGCCCCCGCTGCCTCTGTTCCTGTTAGACAAAGCTGAAAAGGGAGCGGGGGGGGCAAGAAACTGGGTCTGGCTCCCTCCCCGCTGCCTYTCCTTTCACTGGGGGGCTCTTGGGGCCATCTCACACCTTTCCTTCCAAGGGAGGCAACGGGGCTGTATAGAGGGATTTCACACTGCGCTGAAATGCAGCCACACTGTGAAAAAGGGATTTTTCTTTTCTTAGAAAAGAGAAGTTTTTTTTTTTTTTTTTTTTTTTTTTTAAGAAAAGCCTCTGTGTGAAAGCACGAGGCTGGATTTCTGCAGCGGTTGGAACGCGGCTCCTCTGCCAAACCCCAACGCAGGCAGGGGAAAAAAAGGGCTGGCGACCAGTTGCCAAAGCAGCGCGTGGCTGAAATCAATGTTTATTGCTTATAMAGTGTTATAAACGGCGGGTGATGTGTGCTACAGCTCCGTAGCAACCCCAGTTGTCATCGAGAGGAAGAAAAGGGCAAGGGCCCCAAAGGCCMCGTTGCTGTAGCAGCTCGTGAGCGATTTCGCTGCCCCTGCTTGGCCTGTTCTGACATCCTGTTCTCCAGTCTCCATTGGGCCTGTTTCCATAAATGTGTCTTCTGAAAGCCTGGGAAGGGCAGCTCATTTACCCACATGATAGAGGGGAAAAGCAGGAGGTGGTCACAGATTGTAGGGGCTTTTATGATGGGGTTGGAGACCTCGGCTGCCACCATAGGGAGTCCTTTGCTTGAGGGTTGTATAGAGCAAAGAGCATCAAGCAGCAAATGGGATCTTTCCATGGAGTTTTTCCAGCACCAGGCCCTGTAACTTCTGAGAGCTCGTGTGGCAGGTGCAGGTTAACAAAAAAGACAAATAACTCCAAGACTTCCAGATTTAGGCCTATTCCAGCATCACCGCAGCGACCCACGATCAGTCTAACATATGGAAACCTGACTTGCTTGCGGCTAACTGCAGAATCTCACCCACTTGCAGCTTATGGATGTGGCTTCCCCCTCTCCTCTCCCACCAGTCCTTAGTCCCTCGCTCAGCAAGGCGTAGACCAGGTCCCATCCACAGCTCCTCTGCTGAGCAAGGAGCAAAGTGCTGCCCAATTCCTCCCTTCTCCCTGTGGCCTCCCTATATCCACACTGCAAATCCATAGGGGAGCTTTTCCCTTGCAGCTGGTCTAGGATGCCGTGTGRGAGAGAAGGACACTGGGAGAAGATCCTTGGACGTCTTCTCAGGCTACACCCACAAATATGAAAGCAGCTCGTGCTTCCCAGAGCGCAGCCAAGCTCCCAGGCCCTGCAAACATCAATTAGAGCACAAAGCAGGCCCAGATAAAGCAGGGCAACACCCTCCAGCAGCGCCCTTTCCCAAGTGGCAGGCTGATCCCAGTGTGGACCAACACCTCCTGAGGAGCTGGTGGACTCCCAGAGAGTGCTCCAGGCTGTTCCCAAAGATTCC